TAGTACATTTAATGATAGAAATTCAAACTAATTTTGAAAAAGGAAAACAAAATTTAAATTTAATGCCTTCTCTTTAAATGTTTGCATATTTGCATTTGTAAATGGTTTTGTCTTTATGGATATGCTAAAAAAATGATAAAAAAATGTAAAAATGTTTATAACTGGAAGCAATTTGGCAACTTATTCTTATAAATCATATTTAGCTGAAAATAGGTTGATAAAACAGTTAAACCAATTATATAAATATATGAACCTCCACAAAAAACAATACCTAAGGTTTAAAATGAATTTTAAAAAATGAAAAATCTTTCTTGAAATTTTTATTTTAGTTTTAACTTCAATCTAACAGATTAAATTTAATATTTCTAATAAGCATAATACTTTGCTATATTTCAAAAACTAATTTAAATTGATTGGAAGGAGTTTTTTATTTTTTTTTTTTTTTTTCAAGCTGATTAGTGCCCTTTTTTTAGTCATCTTTCAACGCAATATAATTCTCTTTATTAAAAAATATTCCAAACATAAATACACTTTTCTGAAACTTTATTTGAGGTATATTGGTTGATTTTAAGTATAATTAATCTGATTTGAAACAAATATTATTTACGTTAACTTTAAAATATCACAGGAATGCATTTTTTAACCTGACAGTAGTTGTGTTGACATATTGACAGATCTAATGTTCTTCTGCAGAGACCTTGTAAAATGTAATTGAAGAAAATGATGTAAGCAAATTGTTAATATAATTTTTAAGTATTTAGTAATCTTAAAAATTTAGGAAAATATTCTCCATAATTTAATGTTTTATTGAATTTTAGAAATGTTGGCTTTAAATTTACTATAGTTAGCACTCTTGAAATGATGTAAGCAAATTGTTAATATAATTTTTAAGTATTTAGTAATCTTAAAAATTTAGGAAAATATTCTCCATAATTTAATGTTTTATTGAATTTTAGAAATGTTGGCTTTAAATTTACTATAGTTAGCACTCTTATTTTCTGATAATTGAAATTTTGCTGAATTGGCATTTTCCATCAATGGACATTTCCATTTTCAAACTCAATTAGCTTAAAAAAAATCTTTATATCTCCTGAATCAATGGCCAGAAATTAATGAAATTTGTTACCCTTATAGAATTTAGGTCAAGGAATCTGAATATCACTTTAGAATTTTACAGGGAATAACCAAAAAGTAGATATCAACAGTTTTCTGGTGAAAAAATGAACTTTTTTGGTGGCTGACCACACAGAAAAATTAAGAAATATCATCTTCAGTCCCTAAAATTTGCAAAAGGTGGCACAATATTTGAAAACTAGAGTATTTGAAGAATAAATCTCAGTAAATTTCATTAACTGTCTCTCAAAGCTACCAATTCTAGACCTCTTAATAGTTTTTTTTCAAAAGTTCTGATTCAGGGTAATTTTGCAATTATGATTTTCTAATATTGATTCATTCTGCTAAAGTGCTGAAGGTGATGAAACTCATAGGTAACAAAATATTGGGAAAACATTACATAGTATTCAGGAAATTCCTTCTCAGTTTTAACAACTGTCTCTATTTCAATTTTTATAGGTGTTTGCATATGCATTACAAAAAAAAAGAATATTTAGCCCAACTCTTTCTCAAAAGTAAAATTTCCCATATTGCATCAACATTTCCCTGATCAAGATTTTAAAAGCTTAGAAAGAAAGAGAAGCAAAGATCTAAATTTATAATTATTATTTTTTAAGCAGCATGCAAGATAAATCATTTGCAATGTGAAAAAAAATAAAAAAGAATAATAATACTTGAAATAGCTATATATTTAATGGTAGTCTCAATTGCAACAATATAAACTTTATACCTTCAATGTAATATAAAATTCTAAAATTGGCAAAATAAATTTTAAATTTAGTTTTTAGATAAAACTGAATCATTGATTGTTCTAGTCCAATTCTTCTCTATGATATCATATCATTTTGAAAAATGTACATGTGTCCTGATGTTGTAGCTGGAGTTGAAGTTGAAAGATTGCACAATGTTATCATTAGGAAGCCAGCATATGTCTTCATGTCTTAACCAGGAAAAAGAATTTGATGGACTATGAGCATGTAGAAACTGTTTTTAAATCACTTTGTGCAGTATCAATTTAAAGAACTAGACCAACCTACCAAAAACTATTATTAATGCATCCTACATACTACATTGTTTTAATGGAAGTTTCTGGGTATGAAGATGCATCCTGACATGAAATATTAAATTTCTTTGTGGTTTGAATAACTAAATTTTTTTGTAGATTATAGTAGTTCAAATTGATTATGAAGACCAGGAGATCTCCAGGAATAAAGTGGTGAAAAGACCTTGTTCAAAGTGGTCTTCAGGATCAGGATGATGTAATTTGAACTGTTTATGTACTTCTTTCAAGTTTAAAATTCAAATTTTGCTTATGAGTATTCTCCGAAATACTGACATAATCTTTCTTGCCTGGCATAAGTCACAGAAACTGATAATCTTCATAAAAGCTTTTCACTATGATGATGATCCCCTTGGTTGGATTTTATTTAATTTTGCTAAAGGTAAAGCCAAGATACCCGTTCATTTTACAGCACAAGCTTTTCGGACTAAATAATTAGAGACTTCAAAATATTTAGCAATGTTTTCTTTTGATCAAGATTTGGATAAAATTGTTAAAATCTGTACCTTTTCAGGGTACCTACCATATTTCATTGCTCTGGTCAGAGTATCAAGGTCACAGCATTTCTTGCTTTTAGAGATGTTTGTTCTTTTTTACTCAGTGATGAGGAAGGTAGACTGTAGGCATCTGTGATTTTTGTTTTCACATTTTTGATAACCTTTTTCAGTTGCTTTTTCCCTTTGTATGGTGGAACACTCTGCAACTTTAAAGGTGACTTGTCTAATGATACAAATGTAGTGTGAAGTGTTCTCTTGCTTGTGAATGAGTTAATTTGTCATTTCATTTATTCAGAAGGATCCCATGTCATTGGCTTGATGATAACATTTGCTGCATAAATTCAATCCAAACATTAAAGTTAAACCATTAGCTTCAAGCTTTTGGGCAAGGGCTAAAGAAACATGGAGAACACCTAAAGAATAAACAAATTTTCCAAAGTATGATGCTTTATTTTAATTTTTTTTTTTTTAAATTGTAAAACATCTTTTTTAGGAACTTTATAAAAAAAATACCAATATAATTTCATTTTTTTTTTTTTTTTGTTGTTGCATTAAATTTAAGAAATTAATACCATACATATTGGTACTAGATATTTTGCTTAGCCACAAGCTAAGTATTATCATTTGATAACATTATTTGTCAAAATTAGGCATAATCACTCTAGAAAATATTTGACACAAATAAGTTTATATTTTCCAAGTCATTTATCTCACCTTTGACCATCTAGAGAAATCAACAATGTAAGATAACTAACTCCAACTTCCAAAGAAATCCTAGCTTGTCCTATGGAGGGACATTAAACTACACAGACAAAAGTAACTAGAAACATCCATATTTATCTTTTTTAGTATAAAGGGTTTTTTTCTGTTAATCATTTATATTTTAAAAAATAAATTTGATTCATGTGAAAATAGCATATGACTTCAAACAAAAAAAAAGTGTAATCAACAAGAAAAAAACCTTTTGATATCCTTTTGTGGGTTGCAGCACTTTATAGAATTTTTCTTGAACTTTTTTATGTAGTAGTTACTGTGGTGGTCACATACATTTTTATATAAGAACTTGCCACAAGAAATGTCTCTGGGCCCAATTACAGAACCTGCATTAATTCAAGCCTAATATTTGTTTTTGAATCATTAAATGTAAATTATATTATCTTTCCCTAAAGATATGTTTATTTACCTTAGCATTGTTTTAATCATTAGGTTATACTTACCTTTTAAGTTTACGCATTTAGAGAAATTTGCAGAAAAAGTCAGTGCTCAAAAATTCTGATAAATTCAGCTTTTTTATTTCCATAGACATGACTGGTTCATGTGATATTGGAATTTTGTGTGGTAGCACAGATTTTTTTTTTTTTGTTTTGTTTTGTTTTTTTTTTTTGCAATGCATATTCAAACATCCATAAAAATTGAAATAAGAGACATTTGTTAAACCTTTGTGTTTGGGGAATTCATTTCCAATGTATTGTTTTCCCAATGTTTTGTTACATGCGGACTTCATCACCTTTAGGTTATAACTGTTAAATTACCCTGAATCAACATTTTTGAGAAAAAATTATTAGGAGTTCTAGAATTGGTAGCTTTGAGAGGCAGTGAATGAAGCTTATTGGGATTTATTTCCCAAATACTCTAGTTTTCAAATGTTGTGCCACCTTTTGCTACTTTTAGGGGCTGCTGATGATTTTTTTTTTTTTCCCTGGCCAGTGGTTCAGAAGATATAAGGGTTTTTGTGAGATTGTTGAGTTTGGAAATGTCTGACAATGGAAAATGCTGATTCAGCAAAATTTCAACTTGTGATATCTTGAGGACTGTTATGAATTTTCACTTAGAATTTTCAGGATTTTCCAATGACTATAAGTTCTACAACATATCAAAATGAAAAAAATCTTTTTGGAGAGGGGTTACATTGATTGGTTGAATTGACATGGGATGACTCTTCTCTGTTTTACAATTTACTTGACGAATATAATTTTAATGGCTAAATATTCTAAAGGTTACACAGTCCTTGTCTACTCATACTATTTCAAAACAAATCAGTAATTGCAAACTGGCATGAAATTGTTTATTGAATATATCTTTTCAATTGTTTATTGAATATATCTGTAGCTATTTAAGGATGTTTATTTTATTTACTTTTATATATTAAATTTTTTGAGGAAAATGTAAACATTTAGTCAAATTTTTAAAAATGTTACAAAAATCTCTATTTAACAGTTTTTATCTAAATTTTAAATTCTGATATTCCTCTGTTGATCATATACCTGTAAATTTCAATATATCTCTTTGTTGTTTCTATATAAAAATGTTTGGAATTTATAATTATGTAGGAAATGTCCAAGATATTCTGGAACCTAGCTTTACCGAGGAGTTCTCAAATACCAGTGCAAGGCAACCTTATGTGGCTCGTTACCATCTTCGAAAACGAGAAACTGGTGAACCTACAGAATCATCATCAGCAGCTGTTCATGTTCCAGTTAAAAGAAGAAAACAAGGCAAAATCACATGCATTCCGGAAATAAGTAAGTGACAAGCTTTAGTGTTGATTCAATTCACTGTTAATTTGGCAATAAATATAGAAAGAAAATTTTAATCTCTTCTGTAATCATTTTAATCTCTTCTGTAATCATTTTAATCTCTTCTGTAATCATTTTAATCTCTTCTGTAATCATTTTAATCTCTTCTGTAATCATTTTAATCTCTTCTGTAATCATACCTTTTTTATGCCAAGTTATTGATATTCTTTTCTTCAGCTCTTCTCTTTGAAAGTTTTATAAAGTTGAAATCCACAGAAAATTTATTCACTTTAGTGGAGGCTTTCCCTATTTAACTAAGTTAATGACCTTAGCAAAAAGTCACTAACATTTTAAAAACTTGATGTGGATTCTTTCAAAATTATTCTTCATGGAGAACAGATTAAGTTTAATTTGAAAAAAAAGAATGTTATTTTAAAAAAAAATTCTAGCATTAACATGTACATTATTTACATTTGGACTAATGTCCTTATCTTTGTTGTTATCCACAGTATGTTTCATCTGTTGTGCCTTCTAACCTTCAGATGTCTGTCTGTCCAAGTAAACTGCAGAGAATTTCAAACTGAATTTAATTTATGGAGATACATTAATCTAGATTGTTCTTGTTCCACTGTCTATATCTTGGGATATCTTGTTTTTTTTGTTTTTCTTTAGTACTGTTCAATGTTTGCTCACTGATTTCACAGATTCATTTTATACTAGCCAGCCCAGAGATTGAACTCACAATTACAATGCCTGAAACCTAATGTTCTTATTGCTTGTCTACTGTTATCATGTTCCTTTGCCACAGCTTCTTTTCTTGTTACTGAAGCCTTACTGTGAAGCTTGATTCTCTCCACTGTTGTTTCTCTTTCTTCACTAATGCTTTGGGGTATTTATTTCTATGCTAGGTCTACTAAGGAAGCTGTAATAGCCTAACATATAGTGATTCCTTCAGACTTTTTATTTTCCAGTGTTTTCTGTATAGCGTTTTTACTCCCAACCACAATGGTTGTTGATCAGCCGTTTCCCCTTCATACATGATCAGCCGTTTCCCCTTCATACATGATCAGCCGTTTCCCCTTCATACATGATCAGCTATGCCTGATTTTATTCTCATACTCCTAATTACTGCTTGTTAATGTTCTTCCAGTCTTAATTTTAAGAGTTTGCTTGTTTCACCCTTATATTCTTTGCCACAACTGCAAAAGGTGAAATGCACTTATTTCTTAGTCATATTCTTTTATGTTAAGCTTGACTTACAAGACATTTCTCTGTAAGGTAGAATTGTTTCTGAATATACCGCTGTTATTGTATGAATCCCACTGATCTTCTGAATCATTTCCAACATGCTTTTGATGTAGGGAAACAGATTTTGACAGATTTACAATCCTCTTCTTCCTGCCTGAAAGGTAGTAGTTTTTCTGTTGGTCACCATTTATGATTTTTGCATGGTGGTGTAGATATCAGATGATCCCTTTTTTATGCTGTATGGATGGTGGGAGTTGACATTAATGTATTATCCATTGTAGGTTGGTTTGTGATATATGGATGTCTTGAGCCCATTTCTGTGTGAGTTATTAGTACATTTGGGAAGGCCAACTGATTTTTTTTTTTTTTATTTCTTCTTCCATTGGGAACTAGATTGGAAGTCACTCTGAGTACACATGGTCCAGCAATATTTGTACAGCTTTTCTGATGAGGCCAAAGTATGAATGTTTCATCTATATATTTCAGGCATGAGGTTGGCTTTAGTGGTACCATTCCTAAAGCCATTAAAGTATTCGGGGTATATGATGATAATGGCAAACCCATAGCCAAACCTTCCACCTGCAAGTATGTCAGACCCTAGTTTGGAAGAATATCGTCTGTTTATAGTATATCAACATTTCTATTGTGTTATCTATTAGGATGCTAGTATCTTTCTCAAGGAAGGTCTGATTTGAATCTGTTTTGAACCATTGATAGAGTTTCATCTATAGGAACTCTGGTGTACAGGCTCACTCCATCCAAGCTTACCATCCAATTGTTATGGATCAAAGCACCTCAAATTGATCCCACAAACAGTTCTTAACATATGATGAGAACTCTGCTATTCTTGGGTTGACTATATCTACTAGGAATCTGCTCAGTGCATGGCATATTGAGCCCCTGTAGTTGATTATAGGTCTCAACAGAATGCTAACTTTGTGAATCTTGGGGAGACTGTGTGTGTGTGTGTGTATATATATATATATATATATATATATATATATATATATATATGGCAGCTTAGTGTAATCTTGAGTCAGTTGTCTATATTCATTCATTGTAAAGTAATCATTGTTCCTATTTAAGATCTGTAACAACTTCCTCTTAGTTTTTAGATTTGGATTCTTTTTCAACTTATAGCTACCATCCCCAACTAAGCTTAACAATTTCTCTGATTATTCCATCTTCAACTTCAGATGCTTCTTGCAAAAGAACAATGTTTTCCAAAGAAGGCACTACCATTATCTTGCAAGATAAATGGATGCCTATTATAATATCTAGGCACAACACTAATCAAATTTATATTAATTACTAGTGATATACCTATCTAACAACTTTGACTACCTTAGGTTTATGAATCACTTTTGACAACCAAGAAGCATTACATTGATGCATAGCATTGAGAACAGATCATATGAAAAGCTGATAGTTGTCAAATTTTTTTTTTTTTTTTTTTTTAAATGATCATTAAAAAAAGTATATCTCCTTTAAGCTTTCTTGAGGCACTAGGATAAAAATCAAACTGGTATATTGAATTTCAATAAAATATCTTATGAAAGTTTTATGCCTACAAGATTTAATAGTGTTGGTCAACATTCAAAAAAGAAAAAAATTGAATGTTAGCATAAAAATACTTGTCACATTCACTTCTCTTCTAGTTGTCGATATTGGGAAAATTCATGGTGAAAAATGATATTATAGTAAAATTTCAAATTGAATTTAATACTCAGTTATTTAGTATTATTAGTATAAAGTGACAGTGTATTTTTTTTTTTTTTTTATTTTTGATACAAATTCACATCTTTGTCAGTACCCCACCTTCTATATTTGTTTCACTGATTTATGAATCTCTTTTCCTTTTCAAAGATCCAAATGTGAATTTTCAATAGTTCTGCTCTTTTTATACCCAAGATCTCTGTTCCTCTAAAAATGTTTTCTCTCTTTCACAGGTACTTCAGGGAAGGAATATTTACAAGATAAACTTCCGGATGAAGTGATGCTGAAAATTTTCAGTTTCTTATTAGAGTTTGACTTGTGTAGAGCTGCTCAAGTTTGCAAACGATTCCGTACCATTAGTAATGACAGTGAATTGTGGTAAGAATAATTTTTTTTTTTTTTAATACGCCTCTTGTACTAAAATATATAGATAGGTAGCATCAGCTAAAATTTGAATAAAATCAACCATAAAATATTATAGGCTTATTCTAAAGAGATTAAAATTATATGCAAAATACAAAGAACATTTTTATACCTTGGACAATTTTTGAATTATAGGTATTCAAAGATGAGCACTGCCATTTCAGCAGTAACATCTTCATAGTGAGCCCTATTTAACTGCATATCACAGTTTGAAGAAGCAGACAGATTTGGTTGTTTTAGTATAACTATGAAACTTACAGTATGTAATATATAATGGTCATGATGTAGTTTATGAATAAAACAAGGTTGAAGATCACAACATATAAAAAATGCCATGATGTAAAGTACTCATTTTGGCTGAACATAACTTCATATCTAAAACAGAGGTAAACCTAAAATTAATTATCCCAAAAGAATGCGATATATAGAATGTTTTTTATTTTCCTCTTCATAAAATAATGCATGCCAATTTTATAGTCACAAATATGTAAAATTAGCCAAATTGAGATGAGCAGACTTGCACAGTTACAAACAAAAAAAAAAAAAGTATGTAGCTTTTGACCTAATTCAAGGATTTGCTTTAGATTTGGAATATGGTTTAATGGTACACATTAAATATTACAAAGTTTTCTCAAAGATGTGTCACAACTGCCCAAGAAAAATTTAGAAGTACATGAGGAAGGAAATCTTGATTTTTTTTTTTTTTTTTTTTTTTTTTTAAAAAAGTTAAAATGTCCCACAAGTTAATTGTGTCCCCCAAAAAAACCAATGAGTTTAATTCTAGACTAGACTCTTCAACATTTTCTGCATATATGTGATGCCTTGGTTGCAGACGAGTAGAACATGCTGTTCCTCATTACTTTTGTTGATAATCCATATTGAGATGGACTTATTTCTCTTCACTATATTGCTGTGTGGATTCAGTAACAAAAAAAAATTAGAAGAATGTAAATCTCAATGAAAAATATTTAAAATTAGTAAAATTTGATAGAACTTTAATTTCTCAAATTACCTCCCTTTGACTTTTCACTTAACAACTTCAAAATATTTTTACTAATCACAGATTTTGCCCAGTGCTTTAATAATAAATATGTCATTTAATATATTCATTTACTCAACTCTTGTGTTTGTTTGAATTCTACACTTTTGTAAAAGAAAGTTTTAATTCAAAACAAGCCAAAATTTAACCCGTGAACAACTACTTCTATATATGTTATCAGGAATGCTAGTGGTAAGCATAAAAAAAAACACATTCATTGAAGGATTAGAAGAATACTCATCAAGAACACTAGGAAATCATAATTTGGAGACCATGATATTGTGACTTAGTAAACAACAAAATGGTGTCAAATCTATCTCGGGAGCACAGCAGCTGTTCTAATGCTTGTTATTGCCTCCCAGTTTCATATACTATTTGAAAGAAAACTGATTGATTTTTTTTTTTCCAAAAGGTATGATATTTCTTGGTATGAACTGCTTAGAGAGTAGAAATAGAGGTTTGAAGTATAGTTTTGACAAAAGGGAAAGTAATATAAAACAATTTCATTCATGTTTGTTTAATATCAGTGAAAAGCAAATTTTCTCTATACATTCAGAAGAGCTAAAAATAGCATGTTTACTTCATCTTGTGAGCCAATGCGTGTTGAAAACATGTAAACTTTTTCCAACAGCCACAACTAGGTACCTCCATTAATTTGCCAAAAAAAGAGTATACTATGATGAAAAAATGCCCCAAACTTGAAGAAAATTATGTTTTATTGTCCAAATCTTTGTTATTATTAAGAGGAGAGATCAAAGTATTTTTTGAATAGTTAATTAAATTTTTTAATCAATTTTAGAATATTTGAAATATTGATTAAATATCTTTTTTTTTTCTTTTTTTTCTTGCATTGGCGAATGGACTATAAATTAGAATAGTAAATTTTAGTATCATTTTCAGTGAAAGGCACATTCATTTGGAAATTCTTGCAAAATTCAAATAATTAAACTTTCTTATTCACAAATGAAGGAAATTATTTTAGAAACTTTTTTTTTTTTTAACTTAATTTTATGAAAAATTGAGAAATGAAATTTTTAGTTACTATATTATTTAAAGGCAGAACTCTTTGGAGAACTTACACAAAACCCAAGTGAGTGTACAACAGTGACACTTAAGCTAATTCTTGTAATGCTTTAGTTTTGTTAAAGATGATTATGCAGTCAAACAAACAACACATGAAAACCAAAAAGATAGAACTTTATTTTAATACAATTTTTTTATTCAAATTGATTGCTTATACTTTGAGTTTAAAAGTGATAAACTATGAAAATTGCCGGTTTTGCAAATGTGTGTAGTTACTGTGCTGATGACTGCCACTATCTAATAGAAGCAATTGCTTCTAGATGAAGAGAATAGCATTAGCAATGGAGAAATTTATATTGTGAAAGCCTCTAACCTATTTGAAAAATAAAGGGATAAGTATTTTGATTTGTTTACAAATTTAAGTCATTACTTTATTTAGAATAATCATGTTTTGTTTCTTATAATATTTAAGGTATTTTTTGTTTTGTTTCAAGCTTAAAATATTAAGCCATTTTCAATTTTGAAATATTAAGCTATTTTACTTAAGAAATGTCTGGTGTCATCTTTGCCATCATTCTTTAAGGATGCGCTTAAGTTTCTCAGCAGTCGTACTGAAAAATAAGTTTTGAGCTCTTTAGAAAAATAGTCATTTGGAATGCTACTGGTGTTACGTTATTGTTTAATCTATACTTCCTTTGCATTACCGTTTTATGTATGCTCCCTAATCAATGTTAAGCAACATGATTCTTGCTCCCTAACAAGTCCCTTTTCTCCCAACCCCTTTCTCGATCTCTTTGTTGCATTACCTAATAAATGCTGGTTATGTTTTGTGTTGGCTCTCTCAAACCTGAGTGCTGTTACAGGCTGTACATGGAGTGAAATATATCAGAAGGCAAAATTGAGTAAGATGAAGGTTATGCGTGCTTATAGCGTGCGTATCCCACAAAATATTGGTCATACAAACAATTTAAGAACAAATTGCATGGCAAGAAACTACCAAATACTGTTGTTAAAGATTTAACATTAAAGAAATTTTTATATCAACAATAAAATATACATACAAGGACAATCACAATGTTTGTGTTGTGATAATTGAAACAATTTCATAGGGAATGTTTGTGCAGAAATGTGGTTAAGAAATGTTGGTACTTTTTGATTAAGAAAATTAAAATAATTTGGTTTCTGCAAGGAAAGAAATCATATGTGTTTGTTCATTTATCAGTGTGTGTACGTGTGTAATTTACAGGTAAGAATAAATGTTATCAAGAGTTGCTTGCCTTTGAATGTTAGGCTAAACTGATGAGATATACAACTACTTTTTAGTAGTGAAATTGTTCCACTTTTCAAGTCAACTGTAGATGTTGGTCAACACATGGACAATGGTTGATGAATGTTTTGCTGAGTTTGTTGAGATTTCAATGTGGTGTGTGAGTCAGTGAATTGTCACGCATGGAGTTTGGTAGCACGTTGCTGGAATTCAATGGCTGACTGTCTGAATTGAGTCATGCAGTAAATTTATAGATTTTTGTGTAGCAAAATCGACTCCAAAGAGCTTGCCGGGAAATAGGATTCATTTGGAATTTTGCTACACTTTAGTGTTTATTAACCAATAAAAAGATTGGATTGCAAAAATGAGATGATGATTGGTTAAAGGCTTTTCAGAGAAGAATACATTTTCTTGAAGGGAGTTAAAGGCTAATGTGGAAAATTCCATACTGCCCTGTTTTTCAAGACTTAATGTAACAACTGGATTGTTGAGAAAGTATGTTTTTCTTAGGTGGAATTGACTAATGAAGATTAAATTTAAGTAAGTAAGTAATGAAAATGATTTTTATATTTTCTAAATATAAGTATCACCTTTCTAAAGAAAGGAAAAATATTTTATACTTTTTTTTATATAATGCAAAACAAATGCAATTATTGTTAAATTCTGATGCATATCTTTGTATTGTATTTGTAAAAAAATTTTCAGACTACAAACCGAATCAGATATTTTTATAATGAAACAAAATTCTGACTAAAACTTTATGTTCTTAAATGAACTGTGAACTTTTTTCATTGACCTCTCTTTAAGACTCTGTTCTTCAATTTTTTTTTATATTATTACAAATTATAATTAATGAATGAATGAAAATTTCAACAACTGTTTATTTCATCATAGTTGTATTTTTTGAAAGTAAACAAGGGATTACTTGCTGATGGGGAGGAACCCATTGAAAAAAGGTTGACTTAAATATTTGCTTAAAATATGTACCTGTGGTGGTCAGTTAAATACATCTGGTTATTCTTATTCTGATCCACTTTTGACTAAAAGGATCTGTAATGAATAGCCATGTGACAGATTGATCAAATCTGGTAATCCTTGTAATACTAGAACTTGGTTTAAGGCAAGTTATTTACTGTGTTAAACAGGCATTATTCATATTCAACTTTTTACCAGTTAATCCTTGCTTTATATTTAAAAAACAAAAATTAAAAGAATATATTGTTTTTAAATTACAGATGTTTTCCTAGGTTATGAGAACTAAAAACATCTTATTGAAAATTTTAAAACCTTTTCTATTCATTAACTTTATATTTTTTTTATTCATAGAAAATTATCTTTTGAATTCTTTTATGTTTGTAATTTACCATTGGATGTAGAAATTTATCTTAATTCATTACATCTTTTTTGAGAAAATAAAGTATTTTTCAAAACTTATTTATTTAAAAAAAAAACTCAATGGGTTTAACTTTAAATTGAATACTTTTTACCTCTTTTAATAAGCATTCTTAGGAAGCAATGTTTTATGTTCAAATAAATTAGATTTGAATGTAATAAGACATTTCAATTAAATTGCTCACTTAATGTGAACAAATTCTTAAAGTTTTGAATAGATATTGCAGCTTTTTGCTTATTAAAGAGTTTAATATAGATCTATTGCATTAGTTATATAAATTTTAGCTTAAATATTTTAAGACATCATTCCATGATTTTCTGACAATATAAAATGTTGGAAAAATTGCTTTGTAAACTTTAAGTTCTTATTCAAATGAAAGCATTACAGTGATGTTTATTATTATTTTAATAATAAACATCAATATTTTTTATTGTAATAAGGTAAATGCTTGTACTGTTATAGAAATTTGTGGGTTTTTTGTGTTTTTTAGTCAAATTACTTATTTCTCATTGTTAAAAAAGTTAGATTATTTTAAATTAAAACTATTTTATTTTTTACTAGCAGTAGAGCCCGGCGTTGCCCGGGGATGTAACAGTAAGAGATAGATCAAGTATCGACTATCATAAAGACTGAAAAATAAAATTGACAAAGATTACTGTTTAAGGTTGACGGACACGCATGTCTTAATTAGTTTTTTTTTTTTTTTTTTTATGAATTGGTCAAACTCAAACAAAAACATTGTTTACAATTGTTATGAGTCTATCGATTGATGAATAGAATTTTATTATAAACAATTGTCTTGTAAATGGAATTTTTAAAGCATTCTGAATGTAAATAAAGAAAAAAGTGTGCAAGACAATAAGAAATACTACCTGCAAAAAAAAAAAGTGAATGTTTGTTTTATCGGCTGAAAAATGTAAGAAATCCGATCCCATATATAAAGGAACAGACACACACACACACACACACACACACGCCCTGGGTTTTTTTAACCTAAGTCACTCCCGGAATCGCTAAAAACATAGAGCATAGTCTGATGAAAAAAAAGACGCTAAAGTTTATGAAAACAAAATTTTATCGTCAAAAATGCTTATGTTTTTTATGAAGAGGATAGACTAAATTTTTTTTAATTATTTAAAAAATTTTTTCCATCTTTTTAGAATATTCTAAATTTTGATTTAAAAACCTTGTTTTTCTCTTTGTGCAACAATGGGTAGTAAATAACATAGATAATTTTAGCGCATTTTTTTGTATTTACACACATTAATTTGGAAAATCTTGCAAAAAATAAAAATAATTGTCAGATGTTAATGAAACTTTCAGAAACTATTCACAGATGATCGAAATTATTATAATATTATATATGTTTTTTTTTTTTATTAAAGTCATGGCAGAAATATTTTTTTATATTTATTAACACCCCCATAACTAATTTTATGAAAAACTCTAGAAATTCGAGACCATCGGTTTTAGTGATTACAATAGTTAAAAGCACAAGGCTTTGAAGAATGCAAATCATGTATTTATTTATTTTTGGCCAACATACCTGAAAATCAGCTGTGAATTGTAACATACAAAACTCAATAAAACAAATATATTATTTAGTTTCAAATGCTTTTATTTGTTTTAATTTGTTTTTTATGAATATGGACAATATTTTCTGAAGCAAAAAAATGTTTTTAATGAAAATTGAATTTTTAATACAATTATTTCTTATTTTTTAATTTTAAAAGATTTTAAAAAATGTTTAAATTGAATTTTAAAAAATATTTTAACATTAGTTAAATGCAACATCAACCTTTCAAAATGTCCGTGTGAAATTGTCATTGTCTAGCGCTTTGAAAATTGTATAATTTGGACCAATCAGATTAGCCATGGTAATTAAGAAATGTAATTTTTGTGTTTATAGTCGGACAGTAATTATCAAGTACGGAAGACCAACCAGAATACAATTTCGTTGCATTATTTGAGTTCAGCATTGTTCTCCGCTGTTAAGCCCTTTACTTTTGCGAAACACATATGGAGAAATTAATTTGAGTTTTCAATTTCAACTGAGAAGGGTACTTACAAGTATCATCTTATGAAATTTAACTACTGCTAAACTTTAATTTATATGATCTTATTTTTATATTAATCTCAGTTATGACATTTTTCCATAAATGAAATATCAAAATTAATAATAAAATGAATGGAAATACAAATAACACAGTAAAATGTAATAAATGTACATAAAATTATAGTATTTTATGTACACTTCTGATAAAATTTCATAAAGGTACCTAAATTAATTAGATACCTTTTTCTTATGAAATTTAATATCACTATTAACAGTCTTATTTTTTAATTTCTTTATATTTTCCATAAAGCATCGTAAACGTAAAAATGAAAGCTAAGTACAAAAAAAAAAAAAAATTAGAGCGCTGAAAGTTATCCTTAAAAGTAACGAGGTAAATAATTTGTTCACTTAAATAATTTCACTTCCTTCCATCCGTAGGAAAAGAATTACCCTCCCGTAAGTTATCTAAACGTCATGAATGTGCCTTTCGTCAATTGTCAAGCGGCGAAAGGTTATGACCTGCTTTGTTTTATTTTCAAATTACATTTTTTGGCACAGAAGCTAAGTTAAGCTTGGTTCAAAATATTTTAAATAAACAGTATAATATCTGTTTTATTAAAATCAGTTTTGAAAAATGATAATTGACTTTTAAAAAAGAATATCAAAGTAAGATTTTAATCTTTTTATCAGATCGAAAAAAAATGATTGAAAATGATTATCTGTCTTTTTTTTTTTTTTTTTTTTTACAAAAAAAACAATATTTTTAACGAAAATTTCAGACGTGCTAGGAACGATTAAAAATGTAAAAAAAAATAACCCAAAAATACTTTGATCTTTCCTCTTTAATAATAATATGAACATTAGACGATAAAATTTTTGTTTTCGTCAAGTTAGTTTTTTTTTCATCATGCTATGCTCTTTTGTTTACATTTTCGTGGGTGAGTTGTCCCCCTTTCATTCTCGATGTGTCTTAATCATGTTTTCAAATTGATTTTCTTAAAAAAACAACTGTGTTTTTTCCCATTTTTCGTCGCCGTTAGAACCACCAAAAGGTAATTTTATGTAGTCCTGTGAAGTTTTGTTGAAATCGGCTAAAAAATGTAGGAAATTCGATCCAACATATAAACGTTACAGGCACACACACACACACACACACACACACACACAACCTGCGTTTTATAATAAGTAAGATTAATTAAATTTAAAAAAATCAAAAGATGAGCTTATCTAAGAAAAATAGAGTAAACAAAAATATATTTACAACCTCTTTATTATATACATTGTTTATAGTTTGAGTTAAAAACAACATTGTGAAATTGACATTGTTTTATCTTTTCATCTGCCCTTTATAGTATAATTTTGTTACATTGATAACAGATATATTAATGTTAAGAAAGCTTATTGACATCCAGTGTAGTTCTGCTATTGGTAATTTTTGTTCTGCATTTCTGTGTTGGGACTCATTGCCAGATTTGTGTGGGGAATGAAAAGGAACTTGTATGATTTTCAATGATATTCCAACCTTGGATCTATAAGAAGGAATCTTATACAATTAGAATTTGAAAGTGGTGTTTTTTCTATTCTGTCTGAAGGCAGAACTCACAGGATTTGTAACATGATGAATAAAAACTGTTTTGTTTGCTTTCACTAGGTATCCAATTATCCTCTTCAAATAGTGAATTTATGTAGAAAGTTTATCAGATACAAATATAAAAGGCCAAGAAAAAAAATTAATTGCAAGGTGTTATAATTATGACTTCAGCTTTTAATATTTTAAACTAAAAATAAGACTCAGCTTATAAATTTTTAAGGTAATGAAATTCAGCTCAGAACAGCAAATGGAATCTAAATGGTTATTTTTTGTATGTTTAAGATATTCATCAGTTTACATATTTTATAATTAAGACACTGTGAACTTAGATATTAAAATAATAAAAGACCTAAAAAGAAATATTAAGTAGGAAAAATTGTTTAAAAAAAGGTTATGAATTCTAAATTAAAAGATTGTAAAACAGTTTTTTCACAGTGTGAAATCCCTTTAATTCTGTACATGTGTATGTATACATGAACACACACCTCTTCTAAGATCATTGAAGATGGGGAAACATTTTATACATTGCAAAGGATCATAAAGCATGGTGACAATTGCAACACATTTGTTTCTGAATTTTTTCATGTCTTTTATTTGCAGTATCAATAAGTTGTATTTATTCATAAAGCTCTCTGTGGTAGCCAAGTTAAACTCTTAAACTTGTTCCTCTCTAAAGCCAAATCTCTTCTCACTTTTGAAATGATTTTCATTTCTTTATAATCACATCTCACTGATTTTTTTTTTATTATTATTACTTGATTGCAGGAGGATACTTTATAAAGATGTGTTTGAATATGAGAAACCACTCTTACACCCTGATGCCAAAAGCTTCTATTTTGTATCTCCAGAAGAGCAGGAAAACCAAAACTCTTGGAAAGAAAGTTTCCGCCATTTAGTAAGTTATTTTTCATTGTCCAAAATTGGGATGTGATGCTCTTCCTTGAGGATATTAGCTTTCTTTGAAAAAATATATATAAAAAAACAATAATAATAAAAATAGTATCTTAAGATTTTAAATTTTTTAAATTTCATTAAATAGAACTTAAATTTTGACTTGTAACACTTTTGGGGTTCAGTATATTGGAAGATCTGATTATGATTATGTGTTTTTGTCTTTATATAAACTGCTTGCTGACCAAATTGGGCATAGAAGGGAATAGCCAACTTAAAGTTATTAATTTGCTTAAATTTCAAAATGTAAATACATTTTCAATTTAATCTCCAAATACCTTGAGAATTAGAGAAAAAGAAAAATTAAATAAACACATAATAATGAGTAACTGTAATTAAAAATGTGGGAAAATGCATTTTCTGAACATTCCTTTCATTTGCGCTCGTCACATAAATTCATTAGAATAAGTTGTGATCATCTCTTCTTCTAAAGCAAACATTCTTTTAATTTTAAGTGAGACCACAAACACTCAATATTTTGAGTGTGTATCTCCCTATTCGTAGGGGGTGGGGGATATGGTTTTCCTCCTGTTTAATTACAGAATGTCTATAATTTTTACTTGGTATTTTTATTGATTAAACACCCTTGACCTGAGGTCACGATCATATAAAAACAAAAATTGGAAAATTAAAACAAGAAGTAATCAGAGAAGAAAATGTATAACGTCTGGAAAAATCACATTTATTTAAATTTTCTTGTTCTATAGTTTTGATATTTTTTAATAAAAAGATTTGTTTTCATATTTCTTTATAAAATAGTAAATAATAAATATTGTATTGTAGTTGGTTCACATATTTTTATAATCTTGTAAATATAAAATCAATCTTGTAAATAAACAATCTAATAATTAAATAGTGTTTAGTATTTTTGTTCTTATTAAAATGCAACAAATTACACAGCATTATATGGCTATAAAAAAGGTCCTGTTGATTATTTCCTGCTAATTTGTTTAAATAATGCACTGGTTATTGTTTGCATCATGTGACAATAATTGTAAGTACATTGATGCACTAAAGTAAGTAACCAAGTAATTGTTTTAACTTCTGAATCTTGGTGCCTCAGAGTTGTTGCTTTCCTACTCAATAACAATTGACCTGTCAAACCCTGTTTACCCCATATATGTGCCATAGCCATGAACGCTAATGGGTATGTCACAATCCTCATGAATACATTGGACACTATTGTAAGTGGGGGGTAATATGCTGTCTAAGTAGTCCACCACCAGCAGTGGTTTACCTACTTCATGCTGCTGGCGAGTATTGTATTTTGTTGATGTTATAAAGATTACCATTTCATTTCAAACCTCCGTTTTAGTTATTCCTAGGTTACAACAATATCTTTTTTTTTTTTTCTTTTTTTTTTCAAAGTTTGTGTTTATGATTTTTGTTGAGCATTAGAGCCTACTTGGAAGAATTTGTACTTGAGTTGTTACATAACTCAAGTACAAGTATGTATGAATATTGCCGGGTTAACTATGATTTGCTACCAATTTTCTGAAATTGCAAATGAAATCAAAAATTTGAAATGGAATCTGATTTTTCATATTTTTGATAATAAACATTAATTATTTGGTATTCTTTCAAAACTTAATAACTGTCACTGATTTTTCTATTAAAAATTTAATATACGTTAAATGCAAAAAAAAAAAAAAATTAAATTAATGTTTTTATATTAATTAAATTTTTTTTTAAAGAAATGGGGGTCATTCTTTTTTGTTTTTCTGTTTTTTTTTGTTTTTTTTTTGTTTTTTTATTAGAAAAATTTAAAGTATTTTTGTAAGTTTTAAAAGCTTTAAATATAGTGGATAGTTTTAATAAGCTGACCATATTTTGTTAGTCTACATGAGAGAATATATACTTTTTTTTATCTGATTTGTCTATTCTCCCATGTCTACTTTAATTATAAATTATGGCTCCAGCTCATCTATAAATCTACCCAATATCTTATATACTGACATGTGGGATTTATAGTTTCATCATTACTATATTATTTTTAAATCCCTTTAATACATTATTATTTCCGAAATTGTACTTTGAGTAGTTTTTCATATTTTATTTTATTTATTTATTTTTTTTTGCAACATCTAAACCACTTCTGTTTCTGATATAAATATGCAGCATATTGTCAAGATGGATGAATTTAGGAAATCACTCACGTCAGCTTCAAAAGCTGAATCTGCTCCCCTAAAAAAAGATGAATGATCCTAGTATCTAAAATGTGTGCTAAAACCAGTTTAGAACAATTTCCTGTGTTGTTTTGCAAAATACCTCTTTTGAGTTGACACAGTCACTGATCATGTAAAATCAGAAATCCATTTGGCAAAGTAGGCTTTCACAAAGTCATCTATCTTAAAACAGAAGATAACTACAACTTTGGTGAGGCTTAAATAGATTCTGGATGATTTTATCTTAGATTTCTTTAATAATTGATTTATTTGTTTGTTTATTTTTTCCTTTGAAAAGTACACTTTATTTTATAATTGGCAAAATTAAGCCATTTATATTAATGCATTGCAAATAAGGAAGTGCTATCCCAAATGTTAAGTGTGTCAGGCAACTTCAATGAAAACTGAACCTGCACACTAAATCACTGTGTACATGTGTTGTGTACAATGCGATGGAAGATATAAAACATTATTTGGATACTGATATGTCAAAAACAACAATTGGCCTAAAAACTATCTTCTGTCTGAACAAGAAAACACAGATATAGATATGGTCATCTCAAATTTTCAAGATTTTTTTCAGGACTTCACTTTCAAAATTACTTTTCTGGAATGGATGGCTGATAATACTTGTTCTTAAAGAAGAAATCTGATTAAAATTCTACCTCAAAGATAATTATGGACTGAAACATTTAATTGTTTAATCATCTCATGAAATTTTTTTTCTTGATTTCAATTTTCATTTGTTTTAATTTTTATTGAAGATATATGCTATTTCTTTACATGTAATAAAACTTTGAATTTTGTTTTCCCTGTTTTAATAATTATCATATATTGTAATTTTTCCTTGATATGTAATAAAAACTGAACAGAATTAAGGAAAATTTGAAATGGAAAATCAGTGAGCCAACATTTTTAAGAATTTACCAGCAGGAAGATTGTACTTTTGATATTTGAACAAAAACTGTGTTCAATTTTACACCGGGGAATTTGTAGAATTTCAGTAGCATAGATTCACCAGAGTACAGCTATCATTATTTAGTTTTGTAACAAATTAAAAAATATATATATTACATAAGGCTGAAAAATAAGATTAGATATTGGTCTTTTATCTCCTAACATTCACTTCACTCAGTTGTATTTACTAACTCAATTGTTTTTTGTTGTTCCTTTTACCATACAATCTCTTTTATTCAAAAGTTTTTCATGCCTTAATCACTAAATAATCATATTATTTCTGTGAAAAACTAAGTAAACCCCTGTTTATATATCCACATAAAAATCAAACAATTTGTAGACTACAATTTGGAGTTTTCTTGGATTTAAATGAAATCAAATATATTTACAAAAATGCTCTACTATATGATTCTCCTCACCCTATCTCTCCAATTTTAATGACAAAAATGCAAGTTAACCAGTTGAAGAAAAAATTAAAATGGAAAACGTAAAATATTCACGCATTGCCAGAGAATTTAAAATTTTTGTCATCTAGGTGGGGAATACAAAAGTTAAAATGACCAATGAACAGAATTCCATTACCGAGTTAATACCATTTTAACAACAGAAAAATAAAACTATTTTCCTGGGCAATCACATTAAGATACCACTCTTTAAGTTAGTCCCTCTCACATGGCACAATAGTGCCATATTTATCCATCTTTTACCAAAGACGTTTTTTCTCTCCACTCTGATCCTAACCATAAACCAAGGCTTAAAATAGGTGATCAGATGGTGGGAGGAAAGTCAAAGGGCCATTGACTTCCTTTGTTTGCATCATACCAAGTAAGCAAAGGAGCACATTATGTTTTTTTTTATCAAACAATGCTCCAAACAGAATTGACTTCCAAGGCAAAAAAGTTTGCACATCAGGCATTTAACTGTGTAGTGAAAGAAGACATGCTAAATAGTTTCCTCCAAATCACCACAATGGATGCATGGTGAAACTAGCACTTGCACTGCAAAAGTCTTTATGCCAAATCTGAGCATCTAATCACCAGCCAGGTGAGAGATGCTTAATTATTATTGAGACATTTCAACCTGGGTGTTCAAAGCCATGAAAAGCAGTATTTGTTCTCAGAGCATTTCATTTGTGATAGAAGAAGGAACACTTATTTCAAAGCAAATGTCAAGCTTCCCCTTCATTCAAATACGTGTTTTTCAAAGCCAGAAAAGCCTTTTCAGAATCTGCTATTACTCTCCTCTTTTATACACTTGCAACCTCGGAAATGTAGCTACAATGTATGCCAATGAATTTCAATATCTTGTGTAAGCCAAGGTACTCTTGAGCTCAGCTAGTTTAGTACATGGAAGTGTGAGTACTGAAAGTAAAGGATGAATAGATAGGCATGTAAAGTACATACCTCAACTTTCAACCTTTTCCTTCAAGGACACAATTTAACAGTGACCTCGTCCTTTTTCAGTACCACTAAATTTTATGTAACTAAAAGTTAGGACCAAACCAGCTGTTAAGTATCTTGTATGGCACATCCATTCAATGGAATGGGTTAGGGAGGGAACAACTGCTTCACAAGCCCAAACGCAAGCCAACAAACTTATGTTTAACTTTGTCCCTTGTTGCCAACTAGTACAATCTAACATTGACTTTCTCAAGCATTGTTTGTTACAAGTATGGAGACAGTCTTTATAGGCAGGGTACTTGACCAAGATGGTATCACCAGGTAAAATAATTCTATTTCAAACTAAGTTTGCCCTCAACTTGCAAAGGGCGGTTTCTATTTCAAGGACATACTCCATAACTGAAAGTGGACAACTGTGGCAA